GGACAGTCTGTCCAATGAGAGACCAGATATGGGAAAAAACCTATTATGGTTTGTGTCTAGTTGTCCCCTTCAAAGTTTCATGCAGTCATAGGGTAGCTTCTAAAGTTTACAAGTAATTCTTGATCCAATGCTGGGAATATGGGTGTGAGTGCTACACTTGCCCTGGGGATTATGCAGATAATCTGCATACAAATGTAAGGATTATGCAGATAATCTGCATACAAATGTAAGGAAAGAGGCTAGCTCGCTGCCACAGCTGCTGCCCCTCCCATTTGCTTTTTGCTGTTTTCCACCACCATGGACTGATGCCCTTTGCCCTGTGCCACTCTGCCTTGGAGCCAGCCAAGTATGGACTGAAACCTCCACTAACCCCTTCCTTCCTTAATTTTGGGCACTGAATATTTTGCCCAGCAATGAGAGAAGAGTAACTAAGACAGAGCTCTTCTCCCCGGGCTTCCATGAAGAACAAAATTTAAGCTTTTCTCTTATTAGTATCTCTTTGAAAGCTTCCATTAGTCTCTAAATGCCTCATTGTGTTCAATGTATAAAATGCACTTCTTCCTTTGCTCCAGGGATGTGATGGCAGGAAAAATGAAGCAAAGTAGGTAAACGCATCTGCCTGCAGTCCACTCTGCAGCGCCACGGTGCCCTCAGCATCTCTGGAGTTGCCTCGCTAAGCCGGCTGCACTGTGTTGTGAGGATGTGGCTGCTCTGGAGCAGTCTTGTGTTCACACCCCGCCTTCTCTCGCTTCCTGTGTCTGTTCCTCACTCTCCGGTCTCTAGGATTACACATCTCCCCTCCTGCCCGTACTCCAGCACCACTGAAGAATGAACAAATGAAGTATCGACAAAGAAGTCCACGCCTCCAGTCCGTCCTGTTACATAGAACCAGGACTTAGACAGGTAAGAAGTAATACTTTGTGCAGCTTTTCCCAGGTAACGTTGTAATGTTGGGCAGGCAAATAACTTCTGATGAGGCAGCTCAGTACAAGGGATAGGGACATTCTCTCTCTCTCTCTCTCTCTCTCTCTCTCTCTCTCTCTCTCTCTCAGAATGACAGAGAAACTTGGAATTGAACCCAAGGCTATACCCCGGCCTTCCTTTTAAGTTTTCATTTTGAAACAGAATCTTGCCAAGAATTTGCAGTCCTCCTGCCTCAGCCTCACTCCAAGAGGCATATATTTCTAGGATTACACATATGTGCCTCCATAACTGACTGGCAAATACTCTCTCATTGATGTTGGCCTTATCCACCTTACTCTAGGGTTAGTGGTTCTGCCTACAGAATTCTTTCCTAATATTTCACTGGGCAAGAGACAGAAAGGGAAACTTTCAAAAAATGTACAAGCTCTCACTGCCTCTCCCTAATCACCACATGTTCTCCAAACCAGTTCTAAATATACAAATGACACTCGACTAACAACTACGTACAATTTCAGGATTTGAACCCAGATCCTTTTGAAAGCAGATCTGGATTTTTAGCCACAATATCACATGTTAAGAGTAAGAGATACACTCTGTTCCAGAAGCCAAAGTAAGACCAGTGGGCAGCTGTTCACCCGGATAAAGGAATTTGTTGACTGCTAATGTTTCCTAGCCAGGGATTAAGCTATTTAATGAGTTACTAAATTCCCATCCCAGTATGTGAAGTGGGGCAAGGCTAGGGGTGGGGGTATATATCCAAGACATTTCCAATTAGAAAATTGTATCACAAATTCTTTTTCTTATTTTTTTAATTTTATTGAGAAACAGCAATGAGACAGTTTCAAAACCAATTAATAGGACAGTTTCAATAATTAATACATTGCATGATAACTTGAGCCTTTACATCTAAGTGAATGCCACTTCACAAACTCTTATCATGTATCTCGTCTCCAGAGAAGCCTGGCTCACTAATGAATCATGCCTCATGGTATTCACTCCTTGCATTATTCTTCTCTGTCATGAGTTGGGGCTGGCCATATATAACCAATAGAATGTAAAAGAACAAACAGGCATGGCTTTGGGGACCCAGTTCCAAGGTGCATTGGAGCTTCCATTTTGGACTTTGGAGGGTTTGTTCTAGGACAAGTGAACCACCAAGTGATAAACCCCTGAGACCACAATGCTGCAAGGAGGCCTGAGGTAGCCATGTGTAGAGGATGCAAAAAAGAGAAAGGTAGCAGCCCGGAGGACAGGGACATGGAGGACAAGGACAAAGATGCTCCTTTCATCTTAGCTGAGGTGCTAGACATGGTAGGAGAGAAGCCATCCGGACATGCAGCCATGCCAAGCCTTTATAGGAGTCTACATTAGCAGCCTATGAGATCCCAGCCGAGCCCCTCAACCTACCAAGTACAAGAAAGAAAAAGGAAGTATTGATTTTGGCCACTATTTTGGGGGGAAAAATTCATGGCAATTATAGGAAAAATACTGTCAAGCTCAAGCTGCCTAAGCATGCCCCATTTGCTCTGCACTTTCTCTGCCTCCGTGAGGCACAGCAGCCTTATCTACTGAGGACACATTAGGTTTCCCGCAATTCAGTCTCCCCCTCTGTGGATACCATAGTTTCCTCTTGGGGAATGCTTTCTCCATGCCGTGTCATACTAATGAGATGGTAATTCCAAGAGAACAGCTCCCTGCAGAGCCCAAAGAGACCAATAATACTGCACCTAAACAAGGACAACCTGAATATTGGGTCCAATTGCTGTATCTATCACACTCCCTGTTTCAGAACTTGAATCTTCCCTCAGTGACTCAGGGACAGCAGAATGACTGAAAGTCAGTCCCATAGCAGATCTGCTCCTGACCCTGGTGATGCCCCCACTCATGAACTTCTGAACTTCCTAGTCTCTGCTTGGTCCTATTCCTGATCTTCCTGTCTTTTTAGGGAGTTACAGAAGTTCTCTGACATTTTTCCAGAAAACCACCAGTTCCACTTATCTAGAGAAGGTTTCTGCTGAATGCCACCAAAGAGAGAAACCGCTGTCCCCTTTGGCCACACCAGGAATCTGGACATCAACTTGAGTCTTCCTCTCCCCCAAAATCATCCCTCTCAACCTGTCAATAACAAGATTTTGTTTTCAGTCTATTTTTTAAGTACCTCTTGAATTTCTTTTCCATCTTTCTTGTTACTGCCTTGGGGCAGAACTTCATCATTACTTGCCTACGACTACTCCACTCGCCATCACCCTCCTCTAGTTGTCCCCTCCACAACAGCACAGTGAACGCTGAAATTCAAGGCCGTCCTGACGCAGGCGCACACACACCTGCTGCAGCCTCTAGTCCCAAAAATCAACTCAAGCACAGGTCCTTTCTTGCCCCATCTAGCTTTGTAGCTCTATCTCTTCTGACTCTCCTACATAGAGCCGAAGACATCACCAAGTCAAATTCTCAGCAGTTCCCTAAATACTACCTGCTCTCCTTCTGGCTGTGGGCATTTGTGCATGTGACTCATTTGACTTGGAATATGTCTTCCCTCTCATCCACCTGGAGAACAACTGCTGGCCAAGACCAGCCACCACCTTCCCAAGCACTGCTTGACAACTCCACATGGAGTCAGTGCAAAGGAGTGACCCCTTGTGTAAGGCTCGCCATCCTGAACAGCATCTGGCTTCCTTTCCTCTTTTCCTCACTGCATGTCAGCACCTGCGCTGGGCCTGACACACAGTAGGTGCTTCATCAGTATTAATGAAATACTAATGTTGTTACATCACCATGTACTCAAATAACACCGAGAATATTGCAGATGCTCACACATATTTGTTGAATGAAAGGAGAGATAAATGAAGGAGCAAATGGTGGTCAGGATGGATAGGGATTCATATGTAGAGGAAAGTGAAACCACAGGAGCTTGGACATCTTGTCTTGAAAGTCTTTAAGTGTTCCGGCCCAAGCTGTCCCTAAGTTCTATTTGCTGCATGAACTCTCCACCTTGGCGTCCTTGTGTTTCCAAGGACCTGGCCTGCAAGCTTCCACGGCAAGCACTTGATGCCTATTTTCCCTTTATCTAGAACTGTCCACAACTGAAGAGCTGTATGCTTGGCTCCCATCCCACATCCAGGGTTTTACTCTAAAATGACATCTTCAGCTCAGTGGACTGAGCACCTGCTTAGACAAGCACAGGGACAAGATTTGATCCCTGGCACTATATGCAGCACCAGCCCCTCCCGCAGAGCGCCGAGCCAGCCACCGAGACCGGACATGATGGTGCACGCCTGTAATCTCAGTGCTGGAGAGGCTGAAAACAGAAGATCACTACAAGTCTGAGCTGTGTAATGAGACCCTGTATCCAATACATTAACATATAAATAAATATAAGATGACATCTTCAGTGAGGCCTTCACAGACCACTGATCCTCACCCCAAACCTCCCTGTCCCTTCAGTCTACTTCAGAATTTCAAATAGAATGTGTTGCTCTATTATACATTTCTTTTCCAACCATCCCCCTCACTAAACTGCAATTCTATAGTCTGCAATAACTGCAGCTCACTGCTGTACACCTGACATCCGGTCGAATGCTAAGATAGCATTTGCCTAAGACCTAAGACATATTTGCTGGATGATTGTTAAATGAGGTCTGTGACTCTGTGCATCTTATTTCACAGGAAGAGGTGAGCAAGGGACAGGGTACTTTCCAGCATTTTATCTGACATCCGGGGGCAGAGCTGGCCCTGTTCTGTGCAGCCTCGCTAAGCAATTCCACTAACACCAACTGAAAACCATTTCCTGGGCGCCCACCAGCGAACTGCCTCAGGGTAGCACTTTCTCCTCTCAACTTCCTTCTTTTGTTTCTTCCCAGGCTACCAGATCCACAGCTGACCCCACAGTGATCACGCTCTAACAGATTCAGAGTCCACCCCATCCTCCAGCTCATCCCAGCACTGAGAGGGTTCTGCCCTTCAGGCCCTCATCCCGGCCAGTACGCTCCATCCAAGAACCCATCAAAATCGCACACATCTCACTCACAACTACATCCCCATTCCACCAATGTGACGAGGACCATAACATTGGTACTTACTCGGCATTCCCGACAGCTCTTGGTTAAAATCCTCTGGCCTTCTGCAAGAACTCTTCCTCCATAGATACATTTTGCTGCAATAAAACAGGAAAATACATCAGCTAGTCATGGGAGGTAATTGTCATCTCTGAGGTGTCATCCACCTCCAGTAGATCTGACCGAGACATAGAGTCTCAGCCTCTGAGCAATACAGATCTCTGTCTGAAGAACAAGGAAATATAGTACAGTAGCACCCTGGACTGCTACCCATGGCAAGCCTCATCCTGGCTGAGTTTGCCTTGTCTGCACACCAAGAGCATGCAGCTACTTAGATGTTACAGTTGCCAAAGGAACTAGAGAATGAGTTAAAATGGGAAGAGGGTAAGAAGAGGAGGAGGATCTGGCTGCTATCACCTTGGAGTACAATGAGAAGGGGTTTTGATTCAGACACTCCAGCTGTAGAATAAGTGGCTGAGGGAATGGGGCCTCATATATCTTCTGTTGATCAGACCTTGGGCCGCAATGGGTAAGGACATCACTCATTTTTCCTATGATCATGCGAGGCAGCTGTCCTTAGTCTACTTGTTCTTAGGGTGCTCAGACAACAGAGAACTACAAGCCAATCCAGTCAATTGCTACATCAATGCACCAGACAGACTGCCTGTGGAAAGGTGAGCTCGCCAGGCTAATAGAGAGGGCAAGCTTGGGAGCAGGCCTTGCAGAAAATTTCAAAGAGAAATAGAAACAGAACTCCAATTTCGATCCCACTGGGGCTCTGCCCACGACTTAAATTGCTGACTACATCCAAGCAAGTACAGAAGGTGTCAATTTGGTCTGACCCTGATACGAGGCCGCCAAATTCTCCAGCCAGGACAACAGGAGCAAAGAAGCCAAGGCCTGACTGCTCCACTTCCTGCCCCGTGGAGGAACCTTCTAGCTCTTGCTCTCGGGAAAAGTGAAAGCCAAGCCATTTATTCTGAGAGCGCTCTTCCTGCTAACTCACTACTGGTCTTATCAAAGGACCTTAGCTCTCAGAACTTCTGTTTCTGTAAATGGTTTCAAATGGATTGATTATGTTCAGTAGATCTCTAGTACTAACCTCTTCTAGTTGTCATGGAATGTTCACATATGTAGAACTTTAGTGATTGGCTGCTTCAACCCCTTCTTTTTATACAAGGAAGGAGGAAAGCCCAGAGATTCTAATTTAGGTAACACCAGACCTCTGCAGCGGATGCTGGGGTGAGCTACTTAGAGCCCCTCTGAGACCAAAAGACACATTCCCACCCACTTGGAACAGCTGACAGCCGACAGATCTCAGTTATCTCTTCAGGACTTGCCCCGTGCTGTGGAAAGCACGCTGCTCAAAGTCAAGCGGCCTCCTGGGCTGCCTGCCACTAATAAGTGGCTTCAGAAAGTGTGGCAGAATCCTGGCCCCATTGCCCCAGCTCAGCATAACTCTGAAAGATGATTTCCAGTTGTGAAATCCCCTGTAGGAGTAACTGGGATGACTGCCTTAGCTATTCTGCAGTTCAACTTGTCCTTCTGCCCTTTACCTTCCAGGTCCTACGCTAGAACTGATCCTAAGGGCACTTTCTAACAAAGCACATGAAGCCTCCACTTCGTAGTCTGTGGCCCTTAGAACCTGCAGTGGCCCCGTACCCCACCCTGACATGTTCTACTCTCCTTTCTGTGAATGGCACCAGCAACGGCCATGGCACCCTCCTCTTGCTACCTCAGGTGCTTCCAATTTCCACTCTCATTCAGCTTTATGCCCATCAATTCCCCACATGCCAGCCTCGCTCCTTCCTTCAGTTCCTCAGTTTCCCAGACAGTCTTCACTGGAGCCATCGCCACTTCTCTCGGGAGCACCGTGAAATTCCTGGCCGGCCCGGGTCCTCGGCTTGTCTGTCCTTCCTCATGCAATAGTCAGGTTCCTGTTTTCTACATGTAAGTATGGCACCCTACTTACAATCATGATGAGGCCCTGAGGGCTTCAAGATGAAGGCCAATTCCTCTCCTGGCACACAACATGCTTTAGGCGGCTCTTCCCTCACCTGCGTAGAGCTCACCGATGCCTGCGTGGTGCTCGCTGCCCTCAGCTGCTCCACCTCGCAGACTCTGGCCGCGCTGGCTCTGGTTCTCTCCCTCCCAGGCCACGCTTACGCTCTTCTCCAGGCATCAGCCACCCCGCCTGGTTCACTGGCAGCAGAGGCAAAGCCCTCCCTTCCCCCAAGAAGCTGTTCCTGCTCTTTGCCGACGGCTAACCGCCCTCGTCTGTGCTGAGGCTGTACTCAGGAACCTACCTAACAGAACGTGCACCACCACGTCACGTCTTAGCTGCGTGTGTGCTCACAGAGCTCCCTTCTCACTGTCATTTGCAGGATGGGCAGGGCTGTTCCCAGTGTCAGCTTCAGCCCTAAGCCCACTGTGCCTCTCTGGATTTACTATGAGTTAAAACTGCCTTCAAATTTACATACTCTACTCAGGAGCAAAAGCTGGTCAGTTCCTGACCTAGAAAGTTATTTCTGCTCTTCAATGCCACTTCAAATACGAAAAGTTGATTCCAAGGATTTCAGGAAAAAAACAAAATCAACAACAAAGGAAAATCAGGACAATGCCCTAAATGGGCCTTCCCTTTTCCTCTCTTTGTTTAGACAGAAAATACTTTTGTGAACCTCTATTATTTATTTATCTATTTGTTTATTTGGCACAGGGTCTCACAATGCAGCTCGGGTTCAGAGACCTTTCCCTGATCCTCTTAATTTTCTAGATAAGTCAGTAGACCATGACTCATTAGTCTTAATGGCAATCTGGACTTCCCAATTTACTTGCATAGAAAGACCACATCTCCAAGGGCCCGGAATTCCTGCCTAATAAAGTCCCACACTCCCAGACACAGCTGCTGCCAGCGTGGCAAGGTGGCCCGCTCCAAAGCGACAGTTCTGCTAAGTGCTCTGCTGTCAAACCTACCATCTGCTGCTTGGCCCAGGCTGCAAAGCACAGAAGCAGGTTGTTTTCCTTCCACCTTTGCCCCTGCCACTCCTGCAGTGGCAGTAACACGCACGCTACCCTGTTTTAAAGCATTTGCCTGATTCCTTCCTTCCTCAACAACAGACTCATCCCAGAACTCCCTTTTCGAAGTAAGAACACCTTGCTGAGTATAGTCCCACCACACTCAGGGATGCACCCAGCCCACAGATCCTCTAGTTTGGAAAAAAAGTTTCATGTCCACTGGTCTATGCCCCACCCATAGTGGGGTGTTTCGGGGTTAGATAAAGCCACCAACATGTCCGTGCATTTCTGTCATTTGCAGGCTTAGTTCCAATACAGTATGCATGCATGACTGGGACATCAAGTATCCATAAAACTGCCTCCAACAACTTCTAGGATCGACCCTAGAGGTCACAAGAGCATCCCTGCTTTCTCAGGCTCACCCCAATTTCTGGCAGCCACCTGCCCTCCCTGCCACTGCCTTCCATATGCCTCCCATCAGTCCTCATTACTCAGCCTCTTGATCTACAGCCAAAAGGCTGATTTTTGATGTCTGAGGAAATTCAAGCATAAGGTGAGTTAGGCTCGGGTGCCTTTGGCTGGGGCATTTGGGACCTCATTTCAACAGTTTTCAGCACAAGTAGAAATGTAAATGGATACCTGAAGCCCTTCATGTCACACCGGGGACATGCAAACGAGAATATGTCACAGTGTCCAACCATGAAATTGAAACCTGGCACCAGCACACACTTCTCCATGATGTCAGAAATAAGTCATTGGGGACTGAGTCCTGCAGTCTCCTCGTCCCGCATCCACGGTCACCTGGCCCTGCAGCTCTGACCATGATTTCCCAAGTGCAGAGATTGAACACTTTTGCCATTTGGGTGAACACCGAAGCAACAACTGACAGGTTACAGCCTGATGCCTCTGCCAGATGTGGCCATGATGTCGCTGTGTCTTTATTTAGATATCTGTACACACTCCAGCCTTCCCTCAGCGCTCGGCAGCGCAGAATGTCAAAGTTGGCACTCCACTTTGCACTTCAAGGAAAGTGGCAGATCAGAGGGGCCAACCGCCCAAGGATTCTTCCTCCCTCTGCAAGCAAGTTCACACAACTTGGGCTCCACCACCACCCCTCTGAGCAAGACCCCCATATCAAACTAGCTGTCCCTGAGGCTCCTCCAACTCAAGATATGCCGGATGCAGGGCAGCGGCCCCACCCCCCTTCTCCCTCTTCCCTACTCCTGCTCATCACATCATGATTGTCCCGCAGGATCTCGTGCAAAACCTGGCAACTGTTGCCTCACAGACGTTCACACAAAGCAATGCTACCACGTGCCAGATCCTTAGCTGTCACTAGCATCCATCTCCTCTTCTGCATGTCCCCAGGCTGCCTGCCTGCCAGCCCCTCCACCTCTAGCCACAGTGAACCCAAGTCCCATACCAGGCCCTCTCTCCAGCTCTCTCGGTTTGATGGTCTTTCTGAAAGCATATTTTTTTGTCAAAGATTTTGTCAAATCTTGCTTTTAAGTACCACAGCCAATTCTGTGTTTACTCCCACAGTGTTGCATGTGCAGCCCCCTTCAGCAGGTGTGTTCTTACCTTGTATACCTAGTAGATTCCCACCTGCTTTCAGACACATGCCTGAGATGTTACAAAGTTTTCCTTCACCCTCCTCACATGCAAGCTTTTTTTTGTTTTGTTTTGTTTTGCATTTTAGGGAAGGGTGTACAGGGTGTTCAGGGTCTCACTACTAGACCGCACCTGTAGTGATTTTCCTGTTTACGGCCTCCCAAGTGCTGGGATTACAGGCATGCACCATCACACCCAGTCTCAACTGCCATCTCAGTGCACCCTGAGGGCAGGGCCAGCACGGCAGGCCCCGGGATCGAACTCTCAGCCCCTGCACCTGCTTGTAGGCACTTTAATCTTCTGAGCTATTTGGCCGGCCTTACGTGCCTGATGAAATTACCTGCTCCCTTCTTGGTGCCAGTTTTGTACATTAAATTGTGTTCATGTCATATAACACACTTGATGGTGACAGCGATCATGTGCGCAGTGAGTACAACAGAGAGGGTAGGAGCACTGGCTGGACTGCAGCTGGAGAGCCCGCCCTGCCAGTGCTGAGAAACTCGGGGCAGGTCACTTCTGTCTCTCATCTACAAGGTGGGGACAACAGCTGAGCCTACCACTTGGGTTTGTTGGAAGAATCTAGCGAATGAATACACGTAAAATGACTTAGTTCAGAGCCTGATGTAGAATGAGAGATGGACATGTCACCGCTGTTTCACCCAGAGTTGAAGACAGCGTTTGGGACAAGGGATCTCAGATGGATGAATGAGTGTCATCGATAGGATTCAGTCCACATCATTCATGTCTGACCCACACTGGCAGCTTAATTTCTACTTTGTTCCACAAATGTCATCAAACAAGCAGTCTCCCTCTCCCTGCACTACTGTTCTTCCTTCGCACATACTGCTTTGCATAGCTGAAAGATTCCTTCTTCCTCCTCCTCCTTCTCACCTCAGGTAGAACACAAACACAACTACCAAAGCAATACATGTTCCAAGAGCCTGCCACCAGCCGACTCTGATTTAGTAAGTCTATGCAGGGCCCTGAAAACCTGCAGTTTAAGAAGCTCACCAGGGGGTGTTTAATGCGAGGCATGCTCAATATGCCTCGGGCAGGGCAGAAATCCAAATAGTGTGTGTGGAATGGAACAAGAGAAGGGCTTCCTAGACCACCGCGATGTTTACAGTTCTCTTTTGTTTCCCTGCCCTCCTCTGCAAGCGCTCCAGCTCTCGAGGTCATTCCAGCTGCTGGAAGGTGAGGGAGTCAGCAGACAAAGCAATGTGCCCTATGCACTGGCTGCTGTTGTCTGAGGCACACCAGTATATTTCACCAGGGTCCCTGGAACACGGCCTCACCCAAACCACTCAGGACCCTCAGGAGAATATGGTATGCACATATACGACATTTCCTCAGGGCAGTGCTCCAGAAAAATGGAAAAAGTCAAAACAAACGTTATGGTTTGGGTGTAGGATGTCACCCCAGTTCTCATGAGCTCAGACTGGGGCTTGTAGAAAGTGATCAGATGACATAAGGCTATACTCATCAGGGACTGATCCACAGATGGGTCCATGAGGAGGTGGGGCCTGGCAGGGCACCGGGTGCCCATGGGCGCCCCTGCAGGGCCCATTTCCCTTGGTCTCTCCTCTCTTCCTGGCCACCATGGCATGTGCACCTTTTCCCCCACCACAGCCCTCTGCTATCCTGTTCTATTTGGGAGTCAGTCCATCATGATCCAAAACAATGAGGCAAAATCGACCTCTCTTCCTGTTGTGGGTGTCAGTGATTGTGTCTCAGTGACAGAAAAGTGACTAGGACAGAAAGGAATTGAGCCAAAGAAAGATACAGCACGCAGCAAATAGTGGTTTGAACCATATACCCAGTAACATTAAATGAGAATGGGTTAAATGAAGCAATGAAAACAAAACAATCCAGTCTGACAAAGTAAATTTAAAAGCTTGATCCAACTGTATGCTTATTCATATAAGATACACCTTATGCTTTCCTTTGCACCAGTTTTCTTTTCTATGGATTCTATTACTTTAGATGCCTAAAATGATATGTATTTATGGCACATACCATGACGGTGTTAAATAGTACACACTGTACAATGGCAAAAGTCAAGCTAATTAGTAGACATACTGCCTGACAAACTCAACACCTTTGAAAACAGCAACCAAAACAAATGTTTTCAGGGCCAGCAAGATAGCTCAGCAGCATAAGTGCCTACCTGGCAAGCTCAAGGTCCCAAGTTTGATCCCTGGTACCACCCAAAAATAAATAAATAAATAAACACTATTTTATATCATTTTTCTGATGTGACAATACTTTGAAACTTCTAGAAATTCCACTAACCATCAACCATCACTGTCTCTTCTCAATCCCATTGGCCAAACCAACACAAGCACCTACAAAACTAGAAATAGTACCTCTATTTCTTTCCTACAAAGAAAATTCTGCAATAGCATCTACCTAGGTACCAACACTGCCTTCCTCATGTCTCTAACGTTCCTGCACTTACAACTCAGAGCACCCTAAGCCATGTCTTGAACTGTCAGGGCCAACTCTTTCAAGCACTATTCCAGGCATGCATCCTCAGTAACTGCCTAATAAATATTTCCATTAAAAACCAGTAAGAAATGAAAGCTTTTCATTCAAAGGTTCTCAATCCTTTTATTATCCAAGGTGCCTTATATGGCTTCTTTCTATTTTTTTCTTGAGTAATACTCCTATCATTATTTATAATCTCAATTAAATTCTGAGCATATCAATCTATCAATCAGAGATGCAGGGAACATTAGAGCCACCTAAATACACAGATAGGAATTCCATACATTACTCTTTTTATGTATTTAGTACAGGGTCTACAGGGTCTCACTACATAGATTGGACTCACAGTGATTCACCTATTTCCAGCCTCCCAAGTGCTGGAATTACAGGCATGCACCATCACACCCAGTCTCAGTCAGTGTCTCAACGTGTCCTGGGGGTGGGGCTGGCACAGCATGCTGGAGACAGAACCCCAGCCGCTGTGCTTTGCCCAAGCAGGCGCTATGGTCCACTGAACTACTGAGGCGGCCCTTAGGAATTCTATACAAAGGCAAAAACTATACCTATATTTTAGTTAGCATGTGTACCAACATGTTTTTAAAAACTAGGTAACATTCTGAAATACTTTTTAAACCTTAAAACTATCAAAGGAATTAGAGTAAAGAAAAATGACTAATCCACATATACCTAGTGAGAGGACAATTTAATAACATATATCAAGGGTCTTAAAATGTCAGTTTTGGGCTTAGCAATTTCACTTTGGAGAATTTTACTTTAAGAAAATAGAAAACACTGACATGTTCTATATAAAACATCATCAAAGAGTAATTTATAACAATAAAAAGTGGGAAACAATCTAGATACCCAGCAACTGGAGAATAGTTAAATAACAATGGTGGAAACAATGAGGTTAAATGAGAACAAGTTTTTAAAAACACAGAAACCCGGTTAAGCAGTGACGGTAAGTCAGCTAAGTAGGACACGAAGTTGCCTACATAACGAGACCTCAAAAGTGAAATCCATTAAAACTTCAAGCATGACTGTTGTCAGCTGATAATTTTTTGAACTTCTCTTTTCAATCTTTATCCTTCTCTGTGTTTTCAGTGTTATGTAATGGGCATCATGCTTCTATCCTTTAAAAAAAGAAAAAAATCAGCAGGCTAATGTATGAAATATCTAAAGGCCCACTGTACCTGTGTTCAAACAACATCTTTCGATTATACATAGATCAGTATATAGAATTCAAAGTATGGGACTAAAATAATTTCATATTTTTCACAAATACCCAGTAGTTTTTCACCCGTTTTGCTGTGCATTGCTGTACACAATATCAAGCTTGTAAGACAAAAAATAACCCCTGCCTGCTAACAACTACTTTCCCATCACAAAATCAAATAATCAACCAACACTTGAGCCCTTGTGCTTCCTCTATCTCTAGGCATGACTCTAAATACCCTTCATAACAGGAGTAAGTTCCACTGTCTAGTCCAACTTCAAAAACACCTTCCAGAGCACTGGCTGTGCCACGCCAGCCATGTGAAGGCATGTTCCAAACTTCCTTTTGGAGACGCCCAACAAGCACTTGAGCCAGCATGACCAGACCAACTATCTATCTTTCCTCCATCCTAGCAGATGGCATGTTTTCCTTCTCCCCACCCCCAGAAGAAAATCCCTGATGCTCTGAAAGCCCGCAGCATTGTTGTGATTCTCTTGGCAAATAAATGATTTGAAAATTATCCACTGGGCACCATATTTGTAGCTGAACTCTCCATTCAATATAAGCTCTGCCATGGACAAAGCTACTGTGGTACCTCACGGCCCCTCCCCAAGCTGTCACATTGGAAAAGTAACATCCCTCATCCCAAGCTTCCTGTGAAATAGGATAATAACACCCCCACCCTCAAGCGCCCTTGTGAAAATCCAATCAACTGATAGAACTGAAGCCCCACCCACCACCCCATTCCCCCACCCGCACAGCTTATGGCGCATAATCCATCTCCATCTGATACAGTGTCGCCTGAAACACACACTACAAACAGAATGTGGCCCTTCTTCCCTTGATCACTCAGCATTAGGAGACCAGAACACAAGGAACCTTGGAGCTGCTCCCTGAGCACACCCACCTGGCGGAGTGGGCCTGCACAAGCCACTTGCTTCCTGTGAACGCACACACAGAACGAGAGAATAGCAATCAAAGCTCAAGCAAGAAACCTCTGAAGAGCATAGAAAGCCCTCTTGGGGCAGGGGAGATGGCTCAGTGGAATAAGCGCTTCCCTGGCAAGTGCAAGGGTCTGAGTTCAATCCCTGATTCCGCCAAAAAAAAAAAAAAAAAAAAAAAAGCCCTCTAAGGGCCGGCCAGATAGCTCAGTAGATTAAAACGCTTAGGCAGACACAGGGCCCAGGGATTCGATCCTTGGCCTGCTGTGCTGGCTCTGCCACTGGGACATGCTTAGACAGCGATTGAGACTGGGCGGTCAGCGTGGTGGCACAGGCCTGTAATCCCAGCACTAGGGAGGCTGAACAACGGGAAGGATCACTACGAGTCCGATCTATGTAGTGAGACCTATAGACCCTGCACTAAATACATTAAAATGTTTAAAAAGCTAGCTAACGTATCTGCCACACTGCAGGTGCTTACGCTGTCACAGTACACCTGCTATCACATCCACAGACAGCACTTCGCTTCAGTGCCACTGATTGGGACTGGAAAAATATCTGAAAGCACCAAACCCCCACGCTGAACCTCATTTAGGACTTACGTCGGCAGACCTTGCAGCACTGGCCCGCGATGTGCACAGGGAGAGAGTCCAGGGAACAATTGAGGGGCGGGCAGGACATCCGGCGGCACTCCGCAACGCCGCTCTGAGGAAGGAGAGAAGTATGCTCTGAACACTCCGCTGCAGAGAAAGTTCACACCTCACCCCCAGCACCTCATCAGAGAAGGAGAACGGTGTGAGAAATTCCCGCCCCTCTCCATGACCGCCCATCAAGCATCTCTCCAGCCCGCGTGAACCCGTGTCACCTCAATTACTTCTCTGATATACATCACTGGCTTCACCGCACCTGCCCATGTGGACTAAGTAGATTAGGCTGAAAATAAAAAAGCCTATTTTTACAAGAACATAAATAACACCTTTTGCAGACCCTGTCGATCATTTTCGAGGCTCTAGCAATCCATTTTGTATTTTCCTGGACAAACAATGGCATTCTCAGATGTTTATCAAGTAATTTCAACTGGACAAGGGTTGCATGCTAATTTTTAGAGGGGGCCCTTGTAACTCTCTGAAATAGGTGGAGTGTACAAATGATGGATACCAGGAGTGAGAAAAACAGCTTGTATTTCTCTGAAACAAATGACAGATACCATGCAAAATACAACAAAAACCCACAGAGACTAATTAAACCCCTTTAAAAAAATGCATTTTAGCTAAGAAAAAATTGTGATAAAGCTAACTACTGATATGTATGAAAATGAAATAAGTCTCATCTCTCCTCTCTAGATACCTCAATTTCTAAATTCCAAACAGTAAGTTGCTTAATAATATTATTAGATCAAATTAGAGTATAGCAACAAACATTCAGTTTTAACTCCCAAGTATTTAGATAACAAATGACAATTTTTCCAGCAGGCACAATGCATTCATTGCTAAAGAATGTTACACAGAAAGGACTTACCACTGTATATTAAAGAACTCAGTTACACTATAATTACAATGTCTGTCCCCTTTGAGCTGTTATCTTATTTATTCCCAAAAACACTTACTTTGCACGTGCAGTTCCGGCAGTGATCACCGTCAACCCAAGAGTCTTGGTCCCGATACAACAGGCCACTCACTTGACAGGTCTTCTCACAGTGGCAGTTTTCCAATTGACTAAGTCTCGTCTCTGCATAATTTAGCTGCGGAAGAAGAGTCACTGAATATAATGTGTGCAACTCAGTCATCCAAACAAAGCAGTAACAAAGACAAAATATCCAAACGAAAAGAGACAGAGAAGACAACGCTGAAAGTAGTCCCACGGATTCTTAGCAAGGCCTATTTCTGTTCTTTGGAGATTTTTCCCCTTAAACACAAAGTTGATTCACTCTAAATTGAAGATACATTGACTTCCATGGTCTAAGGAAGACCTAATGAGACATTAAAGTGTATCCCTAGGACCTCCTGGGTGTTCATAAAGGAGTGTGCATTCAGCAAAAGCCTGCACAGACACCCACTAATCAATGTGCTTTCAAGATATATTTTTTCACTAAAAAATGGTCCTTCATTTCTATCCCCCTTTTCTGCTTAGTTTTGTCAGAGATGGGTATTCCATTGCCATTCAAATATTGTAGGTGTGTCAATTCAGCAAAATAATCCAATTTAGTCCTGTAGTCCATAATAGTAGTGGGTTATCCGCAGAACTGACAACGTCAGAAGTTGTTGACTTGAGCCTTTTACAGCTCAGCATATTAACATGGCCTTACTTTTATATTTAGGATAGATATACAGCTACTTTCTCTTAATGAGAAGAAAGATTTTTACTAATAGTGTGTAGACAAGATAACATGTCTGCATCTTGCACTATGAATGACTACTACGAAGACAACAATATGCTATGTATTAATTATTGTAACTGTCCTACTAACCTGTTTTGAAACTGTCTCATTGCTATTTCTTTCTCAATAAAATTAATTAAATAAATTTAGAAAAGCAACATGCTCTTAAGGTCTTATCGCCTTGTGTGCTGGACATCCAATTAAGAGCTCAACTTGCATTCATCTCCCACCACCATCTCCCTATTGTTCACACACTAAGCAGAGTGTCATGGTTTATAAACTAGGAAATTCCTGATTCACCTCCAATGAAAAATTCTAGAAGCAAGGGCCAGAGAAACAAAAGTCATACAGTGATCTAGTTTCCCTGGGTCACTATACCCAAACACAACAACCCAGGGATTCATGGTGAGGCTCAAGAGAAGGTCAGAGGAGGTCAGCAAACCTCTAGTTATGACCAGAATTTTGAAAATAACCTTTTTTCTTTTGTTTTAGGCCACTCAACCATTACTACCAATTGCAAAGGTTTAGAATCTCCAATTTCAAGGAAATTATAAAGTTCGGGAACCCTAAAAAGAAACTCATCATGGCGATTATTATTCCCCAAGGGAACCCACTTCTTGTTGTTGCTGCTGTTACTGTTATTAGCTTTGGATGTTTGGAACAAGTATTTGATTTTCAGTGTAACCTCTCTCTCTTCATCTTTCCTGCTAGGTTTAACTTGGCCATGTAACCCATACTGAGCAAATCGAATCTTCCTACATTTGAGCTTCTCCTGGCATCAGGGTGCTGCCTAACCACATTCAGCATGACCAGATTTCTGTGACAGTGCCTTAGAATGTGCTCCAATCATCTCTCCTGATTGATTTTCCCCAGCCTGCATCAATATGTATTCAGAAACACAGTACATGATTTGGGTTGTGCTTCAGTAGAGCGCTCCCCCACAAGTACAAGGCCCTGGGTTCAATCCACAAAGCCAGGCAAAAAGAAAAATATAATACAAAGAAGCCTGAATATAGATAGCTTTTTGGCCTCTATGTTGCCATAGACATGCTAAAGAGTAATTCAGCCCAAGAGCAATATCACTTTTCTCTCCTTTCTCTGACATCAGACTGCCATGATTCGAAAACAAATTCCATCCCCTAACAATTCATCTTGTAGCTTCTCTTTTCCTTCTCAATCACACTTTACGCACCCATGTCTTGAATCCTTTTCCCATGAATAGGAAATCAATTTCATCTCAGATCCCACGAAGACCATTTTGAGCCCCTATTTTAGCTATGACAGTTGAACCTCAGGAACGATGACTCCACCCCTTTTGAGGTGAGATAGCGTTTCCTGCTCTGTGTGCTCCTGTGCATTATTCATAACAGTGCTTCGCTCCATGCGGAATTTTAACTTTCGGATGTGTCACTCATTTCATCCTCTTCCTCCAAGCTTTTGGACAATTTCACAAAAACTTGCCCTTTTCCTGCCTTTTCTGGGTGGCAGCAAAGACAGAGAAAATAACATCCGCGACAAAGCACACAATTCATGACCACCACCACCCCCAAGAGCTAAGGGTTGTCTACCTGAAGAATCAGCAGCTTCCTATGATTCCCTTTAAAATGAATGATCTTCCCGAAGTTCATGTGTCATTTAAAGCTCCAGCCCAATTATAGAGTTTCTATAATCTGTGATAACTGAGATCTTCGGGGGTTCTTTAGGAAACACACATGAAATATGCTGCCCAGACTTCAGCAAGGTTAAGTGACCGAACCACATATAGGCTGGACATAATAAAAAGGAAATTGCAACGTATGCCTGATTATCTTTATTTCATCGCTAGAAGCCTTAGTAGTCCTAGGTAAGGTTATGACCTCACTGAGGATTGAACAAAATGAAGCTAAACTAGATCTCCATACCTCCTAAAAGTGGCTCAGAATTGTATATCTGTTCGGGAGAGAAGAATCCCTACCTATCCTGAAAACCTGGAACAACTCTGGGACCCATTTCACTTCAAGAAGGAAACATCATAAAGAATAACTGATTAGAAAGGCAATGCTTATTAATCCTCCAAACCTAGGCACTTCCCTAAGGTGAATACTGGCAATTAATACTGCTCCATCAACACTGAGCTATGTTTATCTACAAGCTCAATTCCTAAGGAAAATTTCAGTTTTCACATTCTAAATAAAAAAAGAAAAATAAATAAATTAAAGGGTGTTTGTCTCTCTTCGGATCTTTTATTTTTATTTTACACATATTTAGCCATTTTGACAACACTGTAAAGTCCTGATCTAGGTAGTAACGACCATGTCAGACAGATACCATGACAAAAAGACATTAAGGCAGAACACTAATTTTTCAAAGGAATTTAATATGGAATCTTATCTTCCCTTTCCTCTGTTAATCCTATAACAGTAATAGAGAAAAGCAACTTTGAATCAAAAAATGAATTGCATTTTCTGCCAGTGGCACTGGTGCGCTGACTTTATACAAATTCATTTGCACAAGCTATTTCTGTACTACCTGCCATTGTCGGAGAAGACTGGCAGATCCAGAGCAGATGCAGTACCAGACCTCCATCTCTATCCTGTGTACCTTTGTTCCTGTATTTATCTATGTAGCCATGGACTGAATCCCTTATTCTTCATCCACACTGAACAATAGACAGAGCGGGCCTTGCACCGTAAAAGGTCAACACAGACATCTGAGTATGTTAGTCACACAGAAAAAAGCTGTTCTTCTTTTGGAATACTCTTTATTTTGTGTTTGCTGCACAGAAGGGAAAATCTTGCTGTTGCTGTTTCTGTTTTGTTGTTGTTGTTGTTGTTGTTAAACCTTTAAGTTTAATTGAACAATCATTACTGAACCTTCAGAATGACGGAAATTTCAAGATAACCACGTGAAGCCTGAAATGCCTCTCCAAGTGCTTCTTCGAGCTACTGAAGATTTACACACAACTATTTAAACTTTTCCAGCCTCTCATGTCTTTTCCTTCTGAGTTTGAGGGTAGAATGCCACTGCAACACAGACGGGCTCAAGAGTGGGACCTGACCAAACGCACTGCCAACACACCCACCTAGCAGGGGCCCAGGCTGGCAACCTCAACACTGCCTGAGGCAATGTCAGAGGGAGCCTGGGCAGCAGTGGGCTCCTGGGAATTAAAGTGTCAGGTAACACAACAACAAAGGGCACTATTACTTTAGGAAATGGCCCTGCACCTTCTCAGCATTGAAGAAGCATGATTTTTGTCAGAATGTCAGGCTTTCTTGAAGGACTTCTTACCTAGCCTCACCTCTGTCACTGGAACATAAGTGACTAAAAGCCAACATCCCGAACCCTCACAGGCAGAAAGGGAGAGTGGGCCACTCTAGACATACTCCTGGGCTGATCTGCTGTTCCTGTTACTGTTTTGTTTTGTGTCTTTTTGAGATAGGGTTCACCATGCAGTTCAAGCTGGCCTGGAACTCCAAGCAGATGTCCTGCCTCAGCCTCTGGAGCTCTGGGATCGCAAGTGTGTGCCGCCATGCTCAGCTTCGATCTGTCAGGCCTGATGTGATTCTAGCTACCAGCCCCTGGGCAGCCTGTGCCCTGCGCTTTCTCACCGGCACAACAGGATGTCCACTCCGACACAAGCCTGAGGGCTTCTAAGCCTTCTCAGCACCTGCTCTGGACCAAGCCTGGGCAGCCATCTGCAGCCTCTGCCAGTCTTTGGGACACCAGGACACCAGAAAAGGGTGCACTGTCTTGGGACCATCTTTCCCTCGTGGTCACCCTTTTGTTTTACTTGGTTCAGTCCCATAAATACCAACAGCCACCCACTGCAGAATGGCCAGCATGAGTCCTGTACCCAAAGTCATGTGCCCGGTCCCAGGGGTAATGGTTATCACCATTCCCTATACAGGGAGGCAGCAGCTACCAATCCAATGTGCTCAACGCTGAAACATTTTAAAAAATAAATAACAAAAAGTGTCTCAGAATCAGATCAGTCTGACTCCAAAGCCCACTGCCTATCTCAATCAAGGCTACTGGACCAAACTTGACTAAACTTCCAAAACCTAGCTCTAAGCCCAGAAACACCATCTTGCCTCAATAGGATTACTGAACTAACAGCAGAACCTGGGTCCAGATGGACCAGGAGCCACAGAGTTTCCTGTCCATCAGGAAACCATGTTTTGCTTTCAGTGTGCCTCACATCTCCAACTCCATCTCCTTCAATCCATCCAAGGAGTGATTGCACTTCTGCTTCCGCCAAGATGGCAGAATAGACACCGGAAGTATGCTACTGAATAAACTGACCAAAATGCCATATCCAATATACAAACAGAAACTTCCAAAAATCATCACAGAGCTGACACAGAAGGAAAAATGACACAACAAAGTGATAGCAGAGATCTCAAGAGCCAAGCAAACACCAAAGACAACCTAAGTCCTGCAGGTTTCTGCCCATAAGGTCTAGCTTGAAGACTGCACAGGTATAAGGAACAAGGTCGGAAGAGATCAGCCCAAGACTTAGTCTTCCAAGATGCTCCTACAGGAAGGTGGGGGCCCAACAGGCTATGCAGCCTGCTTTAGAATGAACACAAAGGAATCAGCCTTGTACAGCAAAGCACTGAAAGTACATTTCTGTTCAGGCCAGAGTACTGGCTAGAGGGGGCAGGAGGGCTCAAAATTCTCAAGAATTCTTTCCTGAGAATTCTCCTGGCGTAGCCTAGGTCTGGGGACTCATTCTTCAGAGTCAGACAATGTAGTGTGTGGTGTTCCCAAGGGGTTCTGGCAAGAGCACACCCAATGTGACCCAGGGCTTCAGAGTTCCCACTACTTTCCAAGGCAAACAAGCCAAACATAGACAAAAGGGAAGCTAAAAGGCCTCGTTCCTGAGCCCCTCCTCCTCATGAGCTGCTGCAGGCTCTACACTCCCTCCCAAAGGTGTCATCTAAACTCTCGCTCAGCCCCATGAAGCCCTCCAGCAGGCATTCCTCTTTCCCTTTCTTTGTGAGCCCACCCCTCTTTCTGTGCCCTAGCCTCTTGCTAGCAGCAGCCACCTCCTTCTCCCTACCAGTTATTCCCTCTTTATATACTTTAGCTCCCTCTCCAACCCCTCTTCTTTCCAACCATAAACCTTCTCAGTTGTGTTAGTTGTCAGAAGCTAAGGACCTGAGCTCAGGTCCCAGCTCTACCATCTATCACCTTACACAAAGCTCCCTTTCTGGACTCCAGTCTTCTCAATAGGACAATAAACCTAGCTTCCAAGATTACTATGAGAATTGATTTAAACTGCTTAAGTATTGGAACTTACACATACAAAGATGTTCAATAATTATCACCTCATTTGAGTGTCTTTATAACTTCTAGGTCAAAAAATGGACAAACTAAAACTCACAGGCCAAGCCTGGCCTATCACTTGTTTTTCTGACATTGTATGAGCTAAGAATAGTTTATATACTTTTCAGTGATTATGTTTTCACTGATTATTATTTAAAAATCATTTAAGTTATATACATATATAGTTGAATTTTGCTTCTTGAATGAAAAAGCCCAGTATTTACTAGCTGGCCATTTATAGAAAAAATATTTTAACAATTCATTCTGAGGATTATCACAGATTATACATTATGCAGTGAAAATGGAAGTACTCTATTGTAGAATTATAATTCTCTTATAGTTTGGAAGGAACAGACTTACAAGTTTGCCAAAATGCCAGGAAGGGTGGGATTCAGGAGGCAGATTAAACCGTCTTCTGCTCGCTGTTTCCCACAATTAAATACTTTCTACCCCTCCCCCATGTCCACTTTATAGTATAAAGCTTTGAGGACAGAGCTCACTGCGGCTCCTGGATCACTTATAGCTATCATGCCCTGCAATGAAAAAGAAAAGGCGTCCTCAGAGCCAGAGAGTGGACGCCGACAGTCTCCTGAGGCTGAGTACCACAGATCTCGTTTCAAACACTTAGTGGCACGCTGAAGTCTAATTAACAATATTGAGATCAAGCCTCTCTAGACAATCAAGCCTCCGTGTGCCACAGGCGGGCACAGCCGATGCCTCCTGCGCCTCGCATTGCTACTGCTCTGTGAAGTGAAGGCCTGAGCTGCGACTCAAACTTCTGACTCAATCTTCCTCTTCGCAAAAACAGCCTCCGTGTGCTATTTCTGTTTTCCAGACGGGGGTGGACTCGGGTTGGCCAAAATTTGAGTTTGATAGAGAAACAAGGTCTCCACTAACACAGCCTGTGGAGCCAAGTTGCAGCCTCTCACCCAACCACTTAGCTTCCCACCAAGTAGATCTGCCATGCCTGAAGGCAGCAGCAGTCATAGCCACAGGTAGAAGAGAACAAATGTATCATCTTCAACATTATTACAATTCTTGCTTCTGCGAAATATAAGGTCTCTCGGGCTCTACCCAATTCTCTCTGCACCCCAGGTCAAACTCATATTCATAGCTAATTGGTATCATAACAGGGGTACCCTCATCTTCTCTCTTTTTCAGTGCCTTTCTGCACTAAGGCTTGGGGATTTCATCACAAGTCTACATTTATGAATAGATACTAAGGTTTCTAATTGCTTAAATTTTGTCTCAGCCCCTCCACGTGGACATTTCTGAGGCAGAAGTCATCTCTTACTCATCATCATAACTCCAAGCCTGTCCCAGCGCCTGGCAAATAGAAGCCTCTCACAAAATGTTGGTTCCATGAACAACGGAGAGGAAGAAAAAAGGCAGAATCCTGAAAATGGAAAGTGTCTAAGGCACAGATCACTTCTTCCTTCTTTAACATGAACTCAGTCCTGAAACAAAGCAGAGGTCAGGTCTTCCGGTGACAGTCATCTGTTCCTAACAACAGCTGTTTTGCCTCCTCTTGATTTTTGACAATAACCCTTACGTCCAAATTGCACTCACTTGTGAGCAGCAGCGGCTCTGACCGCCTGTCATCTCACCGAGTTACTAGCTTATTGACCACTGGGCAAATTCTTTTCCCACTCCCAGTAACACAGGAAACCTACAGTAATATATATTGCCTCTTGCTTCCACATATTTTTCAAGAACAACATTTAGATGCAGCCTAATGGTGTCAAAGGTCTGAATGGTTATGCTTAGTAGGAATGGTCCCATTTCAGGGGAGAAAAGAACGCACTTGTCATGACATATTGCAGGTGCCAAGGCTAAAAACATTTCCATTATAACATATCACTCTAAATTCTTGATATGACAGAGAAAGAAATGAAACATCACAAGTGAAATTTAGATACCTACTTTTGCAGTCATCTTGGCCAAAAGCTCTTGTAAATCCATTATTCCTTGCACCAGGCTTAAGAAATCGCTGCAGGTAGGGCAAGCTCAATAAAGAAAATATAAAATATATACATTGATCTTGTGCTAAGGTAAGAAAGAAAATTTTAAAACACTTATTTGATAGTATAGAACAGTTTTGGCTCTTTAGTTAAAATTTTGGTAAAGTCAGAGAGGAGTTCCTTTCTGGATATTTTTCTTAAAGTATCATTTTGACAGAAAGGTGATGAGAAAAATATAAAATATCATAAGAGAGAAAAAGTGAGCTCATATCCAAGTCCAAAAGTTTAAAGAACAGTTTTGTAAAACAGTAACAATTTAAGACACACATATGTATATAATTGAACGTATCTGTTTTACAAAACAAAACCTGTTAACACATCCCTTTTCCTGCCTTCAAGTTTAGATTTTGTGCATAGGAAAATCTTTTTAAAATTTCCAGGTGCAGAAGCATGCCACACAGATAATGAGTTTTCTCCTGGGACCCTCCCCGCCTCAGAAAGCAGCGTGGCCTTCTACGCATGCCTTCCTAGCCATGTTCCTCTAATATCATGAACATGTTCTGTAAAACTCTCCAACGCCTTAAGGTACCACTTACTGCGGTTCAGGTTGGGACACTGCGTTATGTATCCATTCGGCATAAAGATGATCTTCCCGTCCTGGATGATCCCCTTGAAGAAGAAGAGACAGGTAGTAATGAAGGGTCCGGTCACAGTGCAAGTGGCCATGTGCAGGCCCACAGCCAGGCAGGTCAGATGATTTTTTAGAAAGACTGATTCGCTCAGGTGAGCTGACCTTGGCCAACACCGACCCACTCCACACCACTCTCTTCTAGAAGCTCTGAGCTGCAGCTTCCTTCGGCCACCCAAGCCAAAACCAGCTATCACTGTATAATTCCACAGAGATCACAGCACCTGGATCTGTCAGTGAGCATTCTTACGCTATCAAATGAAGCAGACACTGATACAATTAAAATTCTTTTCAATGCCTTAATCATCCTGGTACATGAAATATTACTGATTTACAGGGCTTCTTCTTTCAAGTGGGAAGAAAGATGTAACAGGCCAAAATGTTTCCACTGATTCACTCAGTCAAGGAAACTAAATTAGACCTCAGAAAATTTCCCTAATTATATACCCCTCAACTGAGCAACACTGAGTCTTTCTTATGGAAGACCACCTAAGCAACTCTCCTTGAAAGAAGAGCAACTATCTCCATTTTGTCTGTGTCTAATCTTATTTCTATGTATTGATAGGTACAGAGCTGGCTAGGACTTTTCCTTATCCCTTCAATTGGCTTTAAGCAATGCAAATGCATATTGGTCTAGCCAAGGTGCTAATGGTAGATGGGAGGCATGTTTCCCCGGTAACACCCCCCCACACACACACTGCTCTTTACTATGAGCCAGGTCAAGACAGGAGAAGAGCCAGTATTCCACACTGTTGGCTGGTATCAAGCCACAAGATAGAGGCTATGACTTCCTGGGACTTAAAAGATCACACATCAGAGCTGAAGCACCAGACCCCAAAACATTATATACTATCTCACCTGTGCAATGCAGATTACTCTCCACAGATCCTTCTCTGAGTATTGCAGGGATGAATGCAGGCCTCCTACCTAGCCCAGCTCACAGCACTCACTGACTTCCTACCATTCCCATCCTCAAGCCACTCCTCCTTCAAGACTGAATAAAAGCTGGGTTTGGCCCCAGGTCCAGGCTGTGTTCCGAACAGCCATTACGGAGGCTGGACTTAGGACTCCTGGGCTCCCCACAACTATAAATATGTTTTAGTATCTTTATTCTCATGGTGGGTTGCACTGGAAGTGGTAGATTAGAATTCACTTGATGGGATTCCAGTAACTTATCAATGGGATTACAAATATAAACTTCCCAGATTGAGACAAGGACCAAGAAAGGCTCCCTATCCTTTCTAGATGAATCTTTAGATGTGCTCAATGTTTCTGAGAGCAAGGTGCTCTCTTAATGCTGTAATTCACCTGGAAGAATGCCCTAACTTTAACAAAGTCATCAGCAGCGACATGTCTCAATGAAGATATTGGCTTGAATTCAGGATTTTTCATGCTAAATTTAAGATTCTGTTTTCAGGTTTGTTTGGTTTGGGTTTTTTTTTTCTGATTTGATGGAAGCAATTACTACAGAACAGATGAAAGATGTGCAAGCTGGTTTCAGAATTTTTGAGCTTAATCTATAAATAAAATATAGGCTTAAGATGGTACTACCAGTCTTTCAGAGGAAGAAACATACAACATTTATGTGCTCATCTTCAGCAGAAGGCAATCAGCAAATGCTGTTTTCTGCTTATTATTTCAAGCTAAACTATTAATTGGAAATATTAATTCAAATAACAAGACCACAGCACCACTTCACAGAAATATACACATTTGTTAACCTCCTCCTCTTTGAGGACAAAACAGTGTTTGTGGCTGTGAGCAGAGACAGCCTCCCCATGGGGAAGAAGGCCTGGTGGTGTTCCCCAATATTAGTTCATCATCACATGCATGGGAGGGCCAGGGAGCACCTGATGGAGTATGGACCAAGTGAATGAGCTGTGGGACTGGACGGCTTGGTTTTCCATGCAAATCAACACATGCCTTTATTCCAGCTACCTGGGAGGCTGAAATCAGGCAGGTTGTAATTTCAAAGTGACCTTGGACATATATTTTTAAAATACTGAAAATGTAATTTATTGCAGAAGCTCTGGGCTCAAGTACCAGTACCAGTAAAGAAAAAGAGGCGGGAGAGGGAGGGGGAAGGGAAGGGAGGGGGAGGGGAGAGAGAGAAAAAGGGGAAGGGGAGGGGGAGGGGGAGAAGGAGAAGGAGAAAGAGAAGGAGAAGGAGAAGGAGAAGGAGAAGGAGAAGGAGAAGGCACTTTCAGACACACTGGACACATAGAAAAGGTATATGATTAAGAGTAAGAGGGCCTGGGTCCACATCCTGGATCACACTGTAACTTACTGGATGGTCATAGGCAATAAGTAAACTATATTTTCTAAGCCTCAGCTACCTCATCATGAAAGTCAGTGCTGGATAAAAAAGTTAACGACCCTTCCAGCACTCAAGTTCTAGGTCTATTAAGCAAACATACAGGCTCATTTTAGAACTTTGTACTTTTATTATAATATATATATATATATATATATATATATATATATATATATCATACAGACAAATCTATAAATTTCCATCAAAGAACAAACTATCTAAGCGAATTAAATAGCACATTAGAACACATCTGTCCAATCAAGTTGATTATGGATGAATTTACAGTAACCAGCTATACTGGTATACCCACAACTGAGCAATTTCCAGTGACATGGGCAGTTTCAGCACTAAAACCAAGATATTCCCAGGACAGCTGCCAACCTCGGTGATGCACCACGGGCAAAATACTACATGTGCTGGGAAAAAATGAGGCCTATTTTCTACTCATCAGAAGCTTCTAAATCGTTTTCAATTTTTTCATCCAGAGAAAGGGAATTCAGGGGCTGGGGAGATAGCTCAGTGGTCTAAGTGCCTGCCTGGCAAGTGCAAGGACCTGGGTTTGATCCCCACTACTGCATGCCATGCTGGTCCCGGGATCCCAAGTGCAGCGTGCCTGACACCGAAACCAGGCATGGTGGTGCACACCGATGATCCCAGCACTGGTGACACTGAGACAAGAGAGTCCCGATGAGGCCAAGCTGCATAGCAAGACCCTGTACCAAATAAATAAATAAATTTTTTAAAAGTTAAAAAGGAACTCAGAAATGTGAATGAAATGTATCATGGTATCAATTATAATTTTTTAAAGCACAAAATCCATTTGAAGAAATACTCTATCCCACTTATCCAATATTAACAAACTCTACGGCACAGCATTTTTTCTATGTGTGTGTGTGTGTTTTTTTTTAATTAGGTGACCCCACTATTTTTAGATATCTGATAAATTACAAATTGCTTCCCCAATCTTTCCTCTACCTCTTCTGTCCCACTGTTGATCTCTGACCTATGTGGACATAGGTCACACAGATCACTGGGTGAAGATCAATGATGTTGACTGGAATCAAAACAGAAATAAGAGCTGACTGCCTCCCAATGCTCATTAACACAAACGTCTAAAGCACTTGGTATTTTTTTCTCAGGAAAGGCCACGGGGTTAACCCACATACTGGCCTAGACACTAACTTGTCAAATGACTCTGGATCTGAATGTGAATTTGATGCCGAATGCAGTTAATTTGATGCTGGGTTAAAACAAAGGTGGTCACACACACACACACACACACACACACACACACCAACCTGGAATGCCAAATGATTATTCATTCAGTGTTAGGGACATACTATAAGTAAGTTTAGTCATTTTTATGGCTTGTGGTTAGATGCCACCACGGAAGCCTCATGTGGTCATAATGGGGCTTTTTCAGAAGCGGCTGGACCTAGGACATGTGATACAACGTAAAAGACAGAAAGAGGCTCCTTGTGTTACTCTCTTGCTTACTTAATTTTGCTGTCTTCAGCCTGCAATGAACTGTTTCTCCCCTGTGACGCCCCCTCTATGTGCTGCTTTGCCGTGGAGCCCGCCAGTTATGTACTGAAACCTCTACAAACTGTGAGCTAAATAAACTTGTTCATGTTTAAAAATAATAATAACAACATGTAAATGTATGGCTCTGTCCCTGTCATGTTTCCTAGCTTTTCTCCTTGCCTTCTCTTCACTGTCTAATTCTTAAGTTCTCGCTTTCCTTTTAATTGTGTTATAACTTTCTATTTTTATTTCTTCCTTTGAGTTCTTACACTAGGGAGACTATCTGATATTTACACAGGTAGGTCTGGTTTATTTCATTTATGAGTATATCTTCAAGTGGCATCCACTTCAATATAAAGGATTCGAGTTTATCATTCTTTATATCTGAGTAATATAAGATGGCTAAGGCAATGATCCTGAGAATCTTCACCAGGTTTTTGAAACTAGCAGTTAGTTGGTAGGATTCTCACCCTGACTAACTATATATGCTGATACCTGTGAACTAAGCAACTGTGCTGAAGATGGCAGTGTGTAATACTAGGGCCATGCTTGGAATGCCTGTCATTCTGGCCTTCTAAATATGTACTGCTTGTCATGTCATACCAATTACTGCCATACTGTCTCTCAAATAAATGTTTGTTTTAAAAAAAAAAAGGGTAATAAATGAAAACAGACAAGAAAAAAAATGTCACAGGACTGTCCTGTTACAATGCTGTATATGGTTAGATTTCTAAATTTCTGTGTAAACATGTAATTGTTTATTCCTGTTTTTTCAATTTTTTTTTTAGTTTTTAATTTTTTTTTCCTTTTCTTCACATTTTGTAGGGACTTAAAGTTTAACATATTAATACTTGATGGAAAAAATAAATAAATAAATAAATAAAACAAAGGTGGTGCTACAGTACAAATACTACCACACAAGAAAGTGTGAGTCTGTGTGTGTCCATGCAACAACATTTGTGTACAAGGAAGAGCACTTCCAAAACTGCTCCAGGAAGTGGGGAAAATGATGGATAAGTGTGTGTTGGAAACAAGAAAAAAAGATTCCTGGCCATGTGTCTTCACAGAGGTCCTCAAGCTCCACCCAGGGCCGGCACAGGTACCACCACTGCTGGCATGGCCTCTTAGGCAGCAGGCTGCCCAGCACAGGACAGAGGGCCTTAGGCACAGCACCAGGCTTCCTCGGTATTTGCAGCCTTTGCCCACGCTCACAGTACTACCGAGTCCCTTCTTCAGATGAAGAGCAGCAGCTCCATTAGATTTTTCATGGAAGCGAGAGCCCTATGGGAACTGGACACCTGGCAGAGCTAAGTACCTGCTCCTCTGATTTGCCTCAAACCATCCCCTCCTCTGCACTCTTTGGAAAACTTGGTCCATGAAACCAGTCCCTGATGCCAAAAAGGTCGAGAATCAATGTTTTACTGTAATCATTTCTTAAATTCAAACACTCACAATATTTTTGATCAGGCCTTTTATACACCCCAGCAGCTGCCCAAGAACACAAGCCAGAAGTCCTGCATTGACTGCCACGTGGATCACTTAGTGACTAGATACCTGCTGATAAAAGAAGAATTTGCAGATGCGGAGCTGGGAAAGGGGAGGTGGAGGAGGCGGAGGCAGAGCGGGAGCTAGGCGGTTGGACCGAGCAGCAGGCCGGCGGGGCTGGGCCACGCAGAGCAGGCCCAGCGAGCCCTCCCGTGACCCGCGCCGGTGGAAGCAGCAGCAGCTCCTCGCCCGCATCCCGGATGGCCCGAGTCCGGACGGGGCTGGTAGCTAGAGGGCCAAGAGCAGATCCCTCTGAGGGCTGGCCCTTGGGAAGGCGCCTTCAGCAGCGGGACCAGGCAGGCCACCATGACCGAGAACTCCACGTCCGCCCCTGCGGCCAAGCCCAAGCGGGCCAAGGCCTCTAAGAAGTCCACAGACCACCCCAAGTATTCGAACATGATCGTGGCTGCCATCCAGGCCGAGAAGAACTGCGCTGGCTCCTCGCACCAGTCCATCCAGAAGTACATTAAGAGCCACTACAAGGTGGGGGAGAACTCCGACTCCCAGATCAAGTTGTCCATCAAGCGCCTGGTGACCACCGGGGTCCTCAAGCAAACCAAAGGGGTGGGTGCCTCCAGCTCCTTCTGGCTGGCCAAGAGCGACGAGCCCAAGAGGGCAGTGGCCTTCAAGAAGACCAAGAAGGAGGTCAAGAAGGTGGCCACACCAAAGAAGGCAGCCAAGCCCAAGAAGGCTGCCTCCAAAGCCCCAAGCAAGAAACCTAAAGCCACCCCAGTCAAGAAGGCCAAGAAGAAGGTGGCTGCCACACCCAAGAAAGTCAAAAAGCCCAAGGTTGTCAAGGTCAAACCAGTCAAGGCATCCAGGCCCAAGAAGGCCAAACCGGTGAAGCCCAAAGCCAAGTCCAGTGCCAAAAGGGCCGGCAAGAAGAAGTGATGAGGAAGCCTTTTCTTACGGACACTCCACTCTCTCACTCTGTAAATACTTTTTTCCTTTCTTCCTTGATTCTTTGCAACCCTCTGCCCCATTTGTTCTGACTTTATAAAAGACAGACTTTGGATTCCTCGGAGATTGTGGAATAATTGCTTTTTCCTTCCAGTTGTGCAAGGACCGCAACAACAAATCTCATCTCTGTAACGATGAGGATGTACCTATATTTTGTTCTGTTGATTCGCTGTTAATCTTAATGGGGTTCGGGTTTGGGTGGGGTGTGTGTCGTGTTGGGGGGGTTGCTACGAGAGAAGATGGGGACGGAGAGACAGGCTCAGCAGTTTGTCCTCCTAAAGAAGGGAGCCCAGGAGTTTATTGTAAAGGTCTGTAGGAGTGTCTTTAAGGTGTTTTGTTTTGTTTTTTAAGTTGGGCACCCCTGTGAGAATTTCGCAATCTTTATTGGGGTGAGAGGGGAGAGCCGCAGGGGGTCCGTGGCCAGGTTCTTCTCTCCTCAGTCTGCGTGCCCTTCTGGCCTCCCTATTGTCTTAGGGAAGAGGAGGGGGACAAGTCGCAGCTGCTTGGAGAAACTAGATTTTCACTGTCAGCTAGAAATCTGCCATGGGGGAGGGGGCTCTGTGGCGTCGGCGAAGTCTCTTAATGGGAGCAGAAACTTTGGGGAAGGATGGGAAGTCAGCCAAGTGCCTCAGTGTGCCCTGTTGAAACTTGGGTTTTTCCATACAATTTGATGGATTGTTATCGCCTTGGGACGACTTTTTATTTCTCTGTGTTTTGTTCCTTCTCTAAAGACGTGGCTTTGCTTGGTCTGGTGGGGCTCCAGTCCCACCACCAGCTGCTTAAAAACCTCCCGAACTCTTTTTACTTCTGAGTCTGTGTTTTGTTTTGTTTTGTTTTAAGCAGATGTAGAGGGGAGGGGGAGGGGCAAGGAGTGGACAGTAAGACATAGTGCAGTTGATTTGGAATTTGCTACGTAGTTATAGAGCTAGATCTATGTGCATGTGTGTGTATTTGTATATATGCATACCTAGGGCTACTACTTAGGCTTTACATCAGGAGCTGGGAGAAAAAACCTGTACAGTTGTCTGTCTTATTTTTAATATGAAAAATCACGCACTTGCGCCACCCCACCCCCACCTTTTTTAAACAAGTGTTACTTGTGCCGGGAGAAATTTGCTGTCATTGTAATTTTAAAACTTTAAAATAAAATCTGGAAAAGGAAAAAAAAAGAATTTGCTAAACCACAAGAAGGGATTTCCTAAAGTATGAAACTACAAAGTAGCTCTATCTGCCTTATTCCTTCACCCCCCAAAAAAATAATCTGTGAGGCTTTCCACAGGAAAATGTGCCTACCAGCACTGTAGCTGCTCCCAAAGGAGTTAAGGACTAAAACAACAGAATTTCTGTCATTTCTCCCTCTTTAAATTTCAAAAGACCCATACTTAGCTAGCACTGCACCTTGGCTGGGCCTGTGCTAGCTGAGCTCTGTGGTTCTCTTTTTTTCAGACCTACGCTTTAGTTCACATCACTTTTCTCAGCAGTGTTTCTCAAATACCAGTTCCTTAAGCTCCTAGACACCTTGAGGTTTTGTTTAATAATCAGATTTCCTGGACAACCCCACATTTTCTCTTTCAGCAGGACACATTTCAAAAAGTGGCTGCAGATCAAAGGTTCTCACTTTGGAAAAAAAAAACCCTGCTCAATGGTCAACCACAGGTCTTTTTTGGAACAAGAGAATTTATTGACTAGAAGTTCACATTGAGAGAGAGAGAGAGAGAGAGAGAG